GAATCGTCAATTCTGAAACCGATTCTGAACCATGAAGACAAAAGTTCCAAATGTTACCTTGCGAATTCAATTGAGTCTCAATTTTTTCAATTTCTCAGCAATTAAATCTTCAACTTGCAACGATGTTTTATTAACAATTCCAATGAAAAAAAGTTCTAATCTTATTTGTAGATTGTTTTCCAAACAAAAAAAAGAAAACACTTCTATTCTGGTTCATTGAAGTTCTCATAAGAAATTACCCTGAATCCATTGGAAAAAAAAGTAAAAAAAAGTAAAGAAATTGAAAGAAAAAGAGTAACATTGTTTATCTTTTTAAACTTTTCCTTTAAAAGGTAAATTATTCTGTTAAAACAATTCAGTGATTAACTTAATTGTTGAGAAAATAATTAACTTCATTTAAAATGCTTCTGTTATGATGGGTTTAAAATTGATTAAAGAAAATTGTTCATTTAATTGTATATAATTTAAATCGATAGATGAAGAAAAACAAAGGAAAAACACATTAGATGAAAAAAAAGGAACAAGAAGAGAAAAAGGTAAATCAAGGAAACGGAACTGATGCTGTCAAAAAGTTTAACAATTAACTGGGATGGCGAATGACAAAACTGACGATAATTAGATTAATGAAAGTGATTAAAAAATCAATTCAAGTGGAAACTGATTTTACAATTAATACTCAAGCTGTAAAGTTAATCACCATCATTTTGGATTATTCATCGATTTCATCAATTATCACAATCAACTCAATGATAATAAGGAAATGAATGGAAACGGAAGTTATCAATTTATAAGCTTAACCATTTAAATCATCACAATTTCATCTCAACTGCCACTTCCCAACACTCCAACCTTAATTTCATCTGATTTCCTATTTCAAGAGAAAAGCTTTTCTCCCAATTATTATTATTATCATTATTACTCCATAATATTAACCATTGAGTGAAAGTCACAATTTCGCCATTCCCATTGCATCTAGAAGCTCTGACGAACGTGAATAGAATCGTAATTGTCGCTTTAGGAAACTTAATCATCGATTGGAAATTCTGACATTTACTTTACTATTCATGGATATTATATAAAATCAACTCAACTGATCCGAGAATTGGATTGACATGAAAATTTTTATCATCATGTTAGATGATTATGATGACGATGAAACAACGATAAGGAAAAATATATATATTTAAATGTGAACAAGTTCACGAATCAATGGTTCGATCAAGTAGTAAAACCAATACAATAATCAAAGCTACTTATCTTAAAGTTTATTGAGAATTCAAAATATATGAGAAAAAAAATTGTTCCATGTTAATATTTACCTTTACTATTCCATGTAAACAATTCATTGAGTATTTTCTTTGTAACTTGTTTGTTTGTTTTTGTAACTTTTTCGAACAGAAAAGTTCAATCTATTCATATGATTCCCTGTTATCTTAAAAGATGGAAACTTACCATGAGTACAACCATGAAGTCCAAGAATTGTTCCTTGTGGGCAAATATCACACTTTGGACCTTTGATACCGGGAATACAAACACATTTACCTGTTGTTTGTTCACAATCACTTCGAACTGAACCAAATTTATTACAGTTACAAGCTAAAGAAAAAGGATAAAATGAGTTGAGGTGGAAGGGAAAAAAGTTCCAAGAAGAAGAGGAAAAGTTTTTTCTTTATTAGAAAATAAATTAACATGATCACAGGGAGAATCAATTCAATTGGAACGAAACGAATCACTGAACAAAAGTATTCATCTTATATTCAGATTTATCATGTTTACCTTTATTGTCAAACTTTGTATCTACAAAGTACCGTTACCTCATTTCTAAGATGAGAAGGTGAACTGAAAAATTTTTCCCGCGAAAATCTAAAAAATTTAGTTGTGTAGTTATCGAGTTCGAGTGAATTGATTAAGATTACAATCACAATTTACTGTTAACTCTAACTGAGAGTGGACAATTTATCTTCATTCACTCATCTTGGTGGAAGAGAATTTGTTAAATAAAACATATTAGTAGTATAAAGGAAGAGGAAATAAAATGTTACCTGATGTTAGATTTTAGTTTGTATCTATTGTAGAGTAAATTGCCAATTACTTGATTGTTGTATCATTTAGAATTGAATAAACAGTGAATTAGTTTAAGTAAAGGTGAGTGCAGGTAATTGAGAGAGAAACAAGTTGGTTGTAAACAAGAATCCAATAAGAGAAATGAAAAGGAGAAGGAAAATGTTTTCTATCAATGGAAATACAACTTTCGAGAAGTTCATCTCTTCCTTTAGACTATTATCCAATTTAGTTCTTCCATCATCTTCCTCAGCATCCTCATTATCATCATGCAATTGGAATTGAAAATAAAATTCTAATTGAAATTGGATAGACTTAAGTCACCTACTTATCCCTCGTTAACTGTTACCTGTTCATCCGAATCATTTAAAATTTAGATCCGTTAATCATGAGCTAATTTCATGGGAAGATGATAAAAAATCCTCTGAAGTTTTCATCATCTCCATTGTGATGCTCTCGATTTATAAGATTTACTTTATTATCGTTTTACAATGGAAAAATTATCAACCTCTGAACTGAAATACCAACTTTTGGTTGTAATCATTTCCTTTTCCTTTACCTGTGGGTTGAAGTTTTCGTTGAATAAAATATGCAACTGAATTTCACAGAATTTAAACATTTCTCCCTGTCTAATACGCTTGATAAATGCTGATTGAGTATTTTGTTTTCTGAAACTTGATTCTTACTGCTGATTAAATACAAACTCAGAGACTGAACCGGAAGTGAAACGAAAATGGATAAACAAAAGGAGAAGATGAAAAAAAATAGATAAGTTGAAGGTCTTAAGTTACATCGGAAATCCGTTGAAATGTTACCATGTAAAAAGTGCTAACTATTTAGTGTTCAACATTTTTATTCTCATGATTAATATCATCTGATATTCAGTTGAAATTTTCAAGTATTGAAACTATTACATGAAAGAGAGAGAGAGAGAGAGAGAGAGAGAGAGGAACTGGGCTTAGAAATGATAATAATCTGAGACAAAGTAAAGGATTTTGGGAATTTATTATAACGGCAAACAAATATCATGTTATAATGATAGAAAACTTTAGTTACCTTAATGATAATTGATTAAATGAATGCTGAGTAATGAATATTATCACAACAAGTTACAGTTTGTTGATTAACGAGACTAAATCAATAAAAGTAAGTGATGCAAGAAAGAGATGAAAACAATGATGATGATGATGATAAAAATAAAGACATCAACAAATATTAAACTAACACGAATCAATTCAACTGGAATATAATCAAGTTATATTATCATGGTTTGTTTTTTTTCTGCTTCATGATTAACTCATATGTGTTCATGTATCTATTCAGTGATTGTGTCAGAACTTTTCATTCATCCAATTTCAAAGATACTCCAATAGCTGTAATACTTACGTAAGCATCCGTCTTGACCTTTGGCCATATGTAATCCCCAGAAATCGGCCTCACATCGGTTACATTTAAGGCCACCAATTCCTGGTTTACATCGACATTGTCGAGTAACCGGATCACAATTAGAACCAATGGAACCTCGACGATTACAGAAACATCGTTCTAATGGAAGAATAAAAGAAAAAGAGAAAGAAAATGTCAGAATTTCCAATGGAAATTTTAATGTAATAGTAATGAAAATTTTTCGAATTTATATTAACTTGAATTCGAAAGTTATTCTTACAGTCTATTTATTCTGTTCATTAGTCTTACATCTTCAGTAAATATTTCTCTGTCAACTTAGAACTTTTTTCTATCTCTTGTTATCATAAAGTCGATCGATTTTGAAATTTCACTTTTTCACCTTTCTTTTTATCCAACTCACCCTTAGGGCATTTACAGAGTGTTACTATTAATGATAACAGATAAGCTTTCGTTATTAAGTATATATCATTTATATTACAAGTTAAGGTATTGAATGAGTGACTAATTTCAGTTAGAACTCAAGGTTACCATGGTTACGTTCTAGTTTCTTCATTATTATTATTTAATAAAGAGAGAAAAAAATTTTCTCTTCTCATGTGGTTTCAATATTTTTTTTTTCATTCTCTTCCTGTTTTCATCTAATTAATATCATCTTGTCAGTTTCGACTGAGACAGAGAAATAGAGAGAAAGTTTTTTAAATAATTTACATGGAGAAAGAGGATTCAAGTTAATCAGATGATGATGATTCTAATCAACTGGACACTTACCTGGACAACCAAGATAATCAGAACCAAGGGCTTGTGTTTGTCCATCAAGGCAACAACCAAATTCACTTGATTCACACTTCATTTTGGTCTCATGATTAGTTCCTGGAGAAGGTGGAAGGAACAAATTAATTAACATTCATGAGATGAATATTTAAATCTTCATGTTGGTAAGTTGATTAAATTGGAGAAAATTTTCATTATTTTACTTTTTCTTGTCTCTCTCTTTGAATTTGCATTAGAAATTTGCTATTATAATTAATAATTTACTATTCTAATCAATTAACAGTCAAATTAACTTCTCTATCCATCTGATTAATGTCAGGATATTCCATGATAATCAAAAGAAAACGAGAGTAAATGTTCAACTTTCGGAAAGTATGATTGACCCATTGACCATTTTTTTCTCATGTCCTTCAATCTAAACGCAATTAGTTGATTGTTATATTAGATATAAAGTTTAGAGATTAGAGTAATTGGAGAAGAAAAAAATTTTTCGTTTTTTTTTTGCTTCTTCATAGTAATAATAAAATCGATTAGCAAAATTATTTCTTCGATTTTTTCGTTCACCAAAAATTCTGACGCTCAGAGGGGAAATTAAAGTTCGTTTTTTCCTGAACTGTCCATACTCGAGCTGCAAACTTATGGTCATTATTAGCTTGACCTTGTTATCTGAAATCATTTCGGTTCCAAATTTTTTTCTCAACCATGTGAAAGGTGACAGCTCATTGAAACTCAATTGGAGTCAATTTAATCACTGATTTAGTTTAGATGAGATATTTTCAATGGTTTATCTCATTCCAAATCCTAATCAATAATATCATCTCTCTCTCTCTCTCTCTCTCTCTCTCTCTCTCTCTCTCTCTCTCTCTCTCTCTTAGCTTTTGTTGTTCATCATTTTGTTGAACAATTTTTCATCATGATCAATTCAGTGTCCAATCCTCCAATCAATTGAGTAGGAAAACTTGATAACAAATATTTCTTATTTCATCATCATCATCATGCTCTCAATTTGATGATAATGATGATCATTATTCTGATTCCTTTATCAGGAGAAAAAAAATCTTAACCACTTTCATTTTATCTTCCTCATTATCATTATCATCATTTTATCTTCATCCTCGATTCTTCTTTATCTAAATCGTTCAGAATCTAATTGGATAATGTTAATCCTTCTTTATGAATCTTATCCCTAATACCTTTCAGATAGCAGATAAGTTTATCATCTTGTACCAATCACTTCATCACAATCATTCATCACTTTTATCATCACAAATTTTCATCATGTTTCACACTCTCAGAGGCAAAAACATTTAACCCAATAAATTTACTGTACCACCAAGACCACCACTGGCCACCATTTTCCACCTTCAACCTCCTCCAACTAACTAATATCATTATCGGAGTTCATTATGGTTCAACTATCTGATAAAATAATCAATAATCATGATGTATACCAACAATAATCCAAAAGTAATCGTCATTCAGTTCAGATAATTTATGAACTTTTATCTCCAATGAAAATCTACATTAGTACTACATCTTTATCAATTCAATTCAATTTCCAATAGTGGACAATAATAGCAAGAGAGAGAGAGAGAGAGATTCAGATACATGAAACTGTAATCACGGAATCTCAATTTTCAGTGGTAATAGAAAATAGAAAAGTTCTAATCATCTTTACAATCTCTGAATCAAATACATGGGATAAAAACAAATAGATATATGAATGAATCAGACCATGAAAATGGTTTAGATAATAGTAATTCATCATAACCACCGGTGGGATAAAAAGGTAAACATTTAGCTGAAGAACAACAATTCAATAGCTGTTGTTATTATTTCATGGAATGAGTTATATTCAGGATGGAAAGCATGATAATAATGATACATTTTCATGAACAATTCAATAGATGAAACAAATTATCATTTAACTTTCGGCTTAAAAATGAGTTGTTTCGTTATCTCTTTTATTTCTCACCCAATTTAATCTGATGGATTGATTGTTATTGTCAGAATTTCAGATTCAAGTTGCATGATTACAATAGAGAGGTCATGAGAATGATGAAATTTCACCCTGAATTTAAAATTCTCTTCTGCAAATGTAACATTATCTCTTATTGTTTTCTATCATTTCAATGGTTCATTGAGTTCTCTGTTTACTCTGTTTTTCTGTGTCAAGAACTTTGAAAACCATTAGAAAGGTGAAATCACATGAATCCGTCTATTATTCAGAATCATGATCATCACCAACGATTTCAATTCCATTCGATACTCAGGAAATATTCAATTGATCCATTTTCTTGTTGGTTTCAACCGCTCAGAGTAAATGGTTAAATGTATTACATGAAATCTACATGATTATATATTAATTCAATGAATATTTCCATCAGTTTGATGGACACAAAAGTTAATTAAATAATAGCTGGAAAATTGACAAAATTAAATTGGTTGATATTTTGATCGTTTAATCTGGTAAAAAGTTGATCGTCTATCATGAAATGAATTACTAATTTCCCATCAATGATGTTATTCATTCATGGACATGAGAGAGAAGTGGGATTCTCATGAATAATATGTTAATCTTTATTTACATATATAACTTTTAATTCATCTATTCAATCATCCTCATCATGATCAAAGCCTCAGGGGAAAATTCAATTTACATTCAACTATAAAGTTATATATATACTTTATCATATTCATTATGTTATCATATCCTCCCCCTGAAAATTTTGAGTTACTCTTTTCCTTTTCCTGTTCTCAAATCTCAAATCTACTTCATCGTCCTACTTCCGGATCTTGTCTACTGGTTAACTTCCGCTTCTCTCTCTCTCTCTCTCTCCTTTTACTCCTTCAAAGGTATTAGATAAGATTATTCTTAAAGAGATTGTAGTAAAAGTTCATCATGATGTTGAATTTTTATCATGAGATTCCATTAATTTCCTGAATGATTTCAAAGAGGGAGGGAGAGAGAGAGAGAGTCAATTATTGTCTGTATAACGGAAGAACGGAACAAAAATCTGAATTCGAGATTAAATCATGATCATGAATTTCAAGAGTCCATGGTGAATATTAGATGAAAACCAATTGATAAATTACTTTCTCATAATCTTGCATCTATCAACTTTTATTTCACTTTGATTATCAGATGATAAATTGCAAGAGGAGAAAAAAATTCATCAGATTCAGATAAGTTCATCCTTCATCATCAGGAAACACGATAAAACTATGAGCATATCAATTCAGGTAACAGGAAAATATTATTCAGACTCAGAATAATGATGAAATATATAAAGTAAAAGCAATTCAGTTTTTTTTCTGATTTCTACTTCTTGTTGCATATTTTTTATTCATTATCATCATGATGCTTCTGGAGATGATCATCATCTTATCATGTATTATGTTTTCCACTCCCTCCACTGTATATGTATACACATGTAACTGTAAATTCTGTTCATGATTTGTTCCGTTCTTCAGAATCAGCTTAGTACATTTTGCTTTCTTCACTTACAATTCAACGATAATCTTAATGGATTCAAGATTGAATTTTATCTACATCTTTTTATCTGACAGATAAATGATGAATATCATGGAAGAATATCTATAATATAATATTGAACAAAACGATTGGATTCATGAAGGAGAAAAAAAAATGAATTGAAAGAACATGGAAAAGGTGTTCAACTAGATTTACAGGGGAAGAAATAAAAAAGAATAAGAAAAAAATAATAAAATTCCAGGTAAAAAGATGAAGATAAAAAAATAGAATCCAAGTTAAATACTCTTTGAGTATTTGACTTTTTTTTTCCTCTTCTTCTCATGTATTATATGAATATGAGTGTTATTATTATCTCCTCATGCTGTCTGATGCAGTTTCAAAAGTGGGTGGTTATTGGTTATCATCATCACCATCATCATGATGATATCATGAAGGTTCAAGAGATAAAATCAGGAGAAAAAAGTTCTAAATCGAGAATAAAAAAAACAAAGAAGATGTTATAAAAAAAGGTTATAGATATTGGGAGGAAAAGTGAAAGTTATTGAGAGATGATGATGATTATTTTCATGGTGATGATGGTGAACTTATATGTAGTCTGAGAATCAGAACTATCGGAGTAAAGTTGAAAATGGAAAGGTGTGTTTGCCCTGGGGCAGTGAAATTCTGATTTACTTCAAGTGTTTTTCTCCCGAGTGGAGAAAACAATTCCAATAGGATTCCAATCAACTCCCAGTTCTCAAATGAAATGAGATAATATATTTTAGAATTTATTCTTTATTCTTTATTCTCTTGAATAAAAAAAATTCTCTTTCTTGTTCTTCTCCAGCATCCTCATCATCTTTTCATATCATAACATATATACCGTTAATATCTCTTGATGAACTCTAACAACTTGGAATAGTTAATTTGGTTAATTCTTTGTTATTATTTATTTACTCAAATTGATTCCGAATATTGTAATCTTAGCATTTGGAATTTAAATTCTGTTAGAAATATTTCCGCATGAAAATGATGAATGAATTCAATGAGAATTTATTATGAAAATTATCGTATTTATCTCATGATAAGTTACTCAATTAATATGATGAGAGAGAAAAAGTTTTCATTTTCTAAAATGAATCAATTATCATGAACATTTCGAGATTCGGTTGATTATCATGAACGAAAGTTTTTCTTATTATAAATTGTAAGATTATTATAATGACTTACCATTAGAATTGGTTAACAATTTATTATCATCAGTATTTAACTGACTGGAAACGGAAGTTGATTGTTGCTCACAAAATTTATCATCAACAATTGAAATATCTTTCTGTTGGTTACATGATTCCCGTTTCATTTGACATTCATTATCATAATATTGTCCATCAGAACCGCAGATTGATTCATGAAGAGAAGAGACAAAAATAAGTCTCCGATCATTTTCAAAAGCAGCGGAACCGGAAAGAGGAAGAGATGAAAGTGATGATTCATCAAAAGGATCACCTGGTAAGGGTGGGGACGATTGGAATGGCTCAGCATCACAGTGAAAGGAGCAATGGCAATATGGATAATCAGATGAATTATATTGACATGAAGCACCGAAAAGGCATAAAAGGTTATCACATGTTGTTATTAAGGTCACTTTAGGATCGCTTGTTATTTGGTTGGGATGATGGTCATTCGTTGATTGTGGTTGTTTGTGGGAGTGATGATGACGATTATGATGGTGATGATGTTGATGATGATGATGCTGGTTCGAGGTTGAAGTTTGATATGATTCTAATTGCGAGTCAATATTATCTAAATCATTGGTTCCAATTGAATCAGCACCTTTTGAATTCACAACCTGATCATGATTATCGTGATTATTTTTGGCACGATTGGCAGAATTAAGTAAATCATTGATATCATTTGAGTTTTGATTGACAATTGATGAAGATGGTGAAGTTATCGGATCAATGGTAATGGTGGAAGTTGTGATTAAACTAATCATCATTTGATCACATGTACCAAAATATAATTGTGATAATTTAAATTGCTTGCGACAAGATGATTGTCTTAATTCACATTGATTAGCATAGGTAATACCATCATCTCCACAAACTGGTTCAATTGGTTCAATTTGACAATTAAATTGATTGCAATCACAAGATTGACCTTCAAGGCATTTACCAGGTTCATCAACGGTTTTGCAATCAACTGATTTGCATAAACTGGAAACTGTTAGTATAGTTTTTTTTTGTTCATTCATCGCCATCATGTTTAAAAGTAAATACAATTTACAGTTAATGTCAATTTAATAACAGTCAAAGACTAAATAATGATGATGATTAACTTTTTGGGCAAATAGGAAGTTCAATTGCTAAAGGATTGAGGAAAACATCATTATGACAACTTTGGGATGAGATGGTGGAGAAAAAAATTGTTTGAATTAATTTCAACAATCAAATAGTAATTACTTTCTACAATTTAGATAATGATGGAAACAATTTACCTCTGTGATCACAATTTAATTGAAATTCTAATCATCATTTTATAGCTACGAGTTTCCATTGCTATTCATATGTAATTATAACTAAATCAAAGGTAAGAAATTAATAATTTCATCATCTAATTGATTTCGATTTATTAATAGCTTCAATTTAATTGGGACGAAATTAGAGAGAGAAAAGTTTGAGATGTTAAATCGTCAACATTATTTATTAATTAACTGTAACGTGATTAAAATAAATTTGAGGTTGAAAAGAGTTGTAATTGGAAATTTAATTGTTGACAATTACTTGATCATCTTTGTGTTTTATCAACCAGATCAATCCTTTTGTTTGTATTAATATACATGGATTAGTTAATCAGGCTTATCTCCGCGCAAATTAAACTAACCTAATCATGTTAATTATCATCGTCATGATCAACAATTTAGTTATATCAGAGTTAATAATCATTTCTATGAATTATTATTATATATAAGTTTTACTTTTCGAGGAAATCAGATAAGGTTGAATCCAAGCTGAACTCAATCCTTTGGATTCATTATTGTAGCATATTCATTATGAACAAAATGGTTCTGTCTCCATGATCATGGTGATTATCATGATGATGAGCTTGTTTCAGATAATGTTCATGTTGTTGTTGTTGTTGTTTTTGTAATTCTTGTTGTAGATGGTAAAGATAAAGATGAAGATGAAGTTGAGAAACAACAACAACTCCTACTACTGAGAAAAGAGCAACGAGAAAGTGAAAAGGAAAAGGAGGAAGATTGGAAGAGGAAGATGATGATGATGATAATGATAATAATAGTAAATCTTTCCCATGTTAGCCCCAAATAAAGTTGAGAGTAACATTGAACTTGGAAGATTTAACTCAGAACTTTTTTCTTGCTCGTTTATTCAGAAAACTCTTATCGTTTTTTTTTTGAAAAAAAATCTTCATTTATTAGGAATCATCATCATCATGTCAGAATTGTTTTAAGTCAAAACAAAGATGATGAAGATAATAATACTAATAATAGATTTGATCATCATCATCATCAGCATCCGATATGAAACAATAGGCACCATGAACAAAGATAAGTCAATGGAAACAATTGAACTTTTAATGAATCCACTTTTTTCATACTCGATTATCATGATGATGATCATCATTTGTTCAACATTATAATAGACATTTGAAGGCTCAACTTAATTGTCATCAGGTTGATCTATTAATAGGGATAATCATGATTACCAAGATGAGAAAGAAAAACTTTGGAGAAACAAAAGTTTCTCGAAAGAAAAGTTCTAATAAAAGTTTAATTCGATAAAGAAAACGATCAATTTACTTATCGTGATAATTTCTCATCATTAATAATTTGATTGTAATTCTTATTTAAATTGTTCAATAATCTGAAAGGATCCGAAAAATTTATTCCACTATTAATATTACAATTAAAAATAGAACTCGAAACAAAAGTTTAATTGTTTTCTCTTCTAAATCCATTTAATCTCATTTTCCTATTACAAAGTTAATTAATTCTGCAAAATGAGTTAATTGTGAATCATTTTTATCTGACACAACTAATTAAATAATTGTTACTATTGATTAGAATCAAATTAACTTATTAGACTAATTGAATAAGTATTAGGATGAGAATTAAGTTTCCAACAAGTAAATCATATCAAAAGCTTGATTGTTACTTTGATTGTTGTTGTTGTTGCGAATGTGAATTAATTGTCAATACTGTAAATATTATTATCATCATCATATAGCTTCAAGCTAATTTCAGATAATTGTAATTGTTAATTAGCATCATATGAGAATTACAATTAATATTATTATCATAATGATAAACAATATTCAAATATCACTTGGAGGTCTTAATGACAAGTGTATGGTGAATTTAATATTAACTAATGAATCCGATGATTTATCATTGATTATCATTATCAGAATGAAGGAAAAGTGTCAATTGTGATAATAATAATTATCATCATCATCATCATTAGCTGATTGTGATTAGTTAATACAGATAATGATAATTATATCATGAGCTTTTTCTCATTGAAACATGAATAATAATCAACATTCATGTTAATGTTTACTTTTGATCAATCGAATCACTAATTATTATTATCATCAACATGATCATGATGATCATGATGATTATATAAGAGAGAGAGAGAGAGAAAAAAAAAATTGTGATTAAGTCTTGTAATTGGTTGATTGTTAATGATGATTAAGGTGAAAGTGTCATTAAGGTGATGAGTTGAGTGGATTGAGGATATTGATTGATTTTAGGAATTGTATCTAATTTAATGATTCACATGGTGGGTTAAAGGGAAAGGGAAGGGAGGGAAAAAAAGTTCCATCAGATTAATGATTACGTGATTACTTACTACAAGAACCATGATGGACAATGGTCAAGTTAATTTTCTGGAGACATGAGGCCATCTGTAATTCACATTCACTCTCATAGTTACGGCCATTTGACCCACAAACGGGATTATCGTCACGAATACAAACTTTTGGACAAACACATTGAGGTTTACTGGTTTCCGGGTCAATCTCACAAACAGCATAATGGGAACAGGTTAAATTTGAACAGGTATCTGGATTAAAGGATTAAGACATTGAGAGAGAAGTTGATTAATTTTCCTTTTAGCAAAATCTTTTTCCTGTTTCTTGAGATAATGTCAAAGGAATTGGGGGAAATTTGAATGCAATCATTTGCATCTAAATGGATACGATAACATGACACGAAACATTGGACATTTAGTTACTCTCGATTCCAATTCTGTAGTATTATCTTTCAATTCATTGCTGGTCAGTTTTCCTATTGCGTGACCAGTGGAAAGTTTTTTTCTTTTGTTAATTAAATTGAAATATCCCCTCAAGTTGAATAAATATACATGCGAATTGAAATCTGATTCTGATTTTTCATTTACAATGTTGAAGGAAAATTTAGAAAATTATTCGTAATCAACTTCGTAAAGGGAGTTGGTGATAATAATAAAAAAGTTCTCGAAATAATAATCATCATGATAATAGATAGAAAAGGAATAATCATGATTCTGGTCGATTCATGGAAATGAACAGAGAGAGAAAAAAAAAAGTTACCATAGAAATCATATCAACCATAATTATCGCATCAGTTGCTTTTCGAAATATTTTTTCATCTCATCATTTCCTTTTCCTTTTTTTTCTTCTTCTTCACTCTCATGACAAAGATCACCTTTTGTTGTTTAGGTTACCTTATTATTACCTTGTATTAGTTATTCATAAGTGAAAAGAGGAAGAAAAGTTGAGAGAATAAAAATTCATATTGAATTTCATGATAACCCTCTTGTTTCATATTTTCTATTCCTTTTCATGAGATCTTTTATCTTTTTCTGTTTCTTTCAACGATCATCATCATCATTTATTCACTTTGCATGTTACCTTGTCAGAGAAAGAGGAAGATAAATCCAAATCTCTGAGTTTTTTACTCTGACAAAAAAAAGTTCTGATTCTCATGAAGTTTTAGATTCTTTCTTCATGATTGACAGGGTAAAATTTTGACGTTGAAATGTTAACAGAGTAGATTTTGTGAAAGATGAGGATGATTCAGTGTGAGTAGATTGTCTCATGTAAGATGGAATTGAAATGATATGAAATGTTGGATGAAAAAAGAAACAAAAATCAGGAAAAAAAATGGAAACAATAATAATCATGATAACTCTGAATTTCCATGGGATTTGAATGTCAAACGCCCAAAACGAGACCGATTGTAACATTTATGAATGAATTTTTGATTCATGATCATCACAACTGTAATCAAAATATACATGAAAATAAATTAATAGTCTTCGTGACTTTCAAGGATAATCATAAAAATCATGTCCAGAAGTTGAAATGGTCAATTCTGGACAACGAGCATTTCAAAAAAGTTCATTTTTAATCATAAAACCAAAATTCATCAATCTCTAACAACCAGAGTCCAATTAATCAGCTTCAATTGACTGATCTGATTCAAGGAAATCATGAAAAGTCATCATTATCATTACATTCATGATGAATACACACACCTTTCAATTCAGAGTCACCATGATATAAGATATATAATATGATACAAAAGCATTCATACTCAACTATCACTTTCAACCATGATAATTTCAACCTGATTCATTGTAATTCATAATTCAACAATACAAATGAAAGAATGGTATTCAAGTATTTAGGTTACGATTCTTTCATTCATTCATCATCATGAATTCATCATGTTTCAAGATACAAACACTTGAAAGGTTGTATAACATTTTGTTGAGAGGAAGCTAAACTTTTCCTACATCACCACTACCACCATCCTCATCCTCATTATCCTCATCATGTTTATCACCACCTACACCATGGTTATGATAATCATTCAGCAAGTTCTGATACACTAATTGTAGATTTATACAAATATAAAGTCATCTAAAGACATTGACATTAAACTTTGACCTGTGTAAACATTTATCTTCAGCTAATGACAATCATGATTGGGATGAAATGCTGAAAGTTATGAATAAATTTTGGCAGGAAAAAAAGTTCTTACAATGTCATCAAAGTATTCATAGCATGGTGATAAAATATATGAAAATGTACCTTCAGTCAATATCATTACACAAAATAAGAGATAAAATCAGCTATCATCATGATAATAAAAGTTATCTAATTATTATTGGAATTTTCATTCACTGTAATTACCTTTTTGTTATCAATTTGATTGGAATCAATTTAAAACCGATTCCTTGAAAATTTTCAATTTCTTTTCTCATGTAATCATGAAATGAGATAATTTTTCTCTGTGGAAAATCAAAACAATATCATTAGAGACACTGGAGATTCTGGTGATGAATATTGAACTGTTGAAAATGAACACAATCTAATCTTAAATCTGATTGAATTAAAATCAAGATGAAACTCAACAATTGAGTGATTGTTAAATTGACAGTTTTAGACGATATCAGAATAAGAATGACTAAATTGTTTTCCAATTACTGATTAGATTATCTCAAATTACCTGAACCATTATCATCGAAATCAATCTAATCAACAAGACAAATTGATTGTAATCATTTTGATTGTCAAAAATTAGGTGAAAAAAATCAAGGATAAAATCAAATTGAGTAATCAAGTTAATTGGAAACGTTCAAACTGATTAGACTAACCCAGGCAAGGAAAAAAAAACAATCAACTTTGAGACCAACAAGTTGTTTTCTTACTCATGATATTATCCAGGATCAGAATTTTTTTCCATGGAAAAAACTGAACTTGAAACTTTTCTCCTGAAAAAAAAGTTCAAGTATTTCAACAACCATCAGGGGATAGACACTTGAAGGACATCTCAAGGTTTGAAACTCTCAATGATGAGCAAATAAAACAGCCTTGTATTCATAATATCAGCTGATTGTTATACTTGATACTCACAACTTTTAGCAACAATCAAGGTTAAGATTAATTCCCTGTAATAATATTTTTCATGGTACGAAACAAGGTTAACTTTAAATGAATAGTTTGAAAATGTTCAAGATAATAACACAATCTTTGCATGTGAATATCATGAATGTAAAAAAAAGCGATAAGATAATCATTCATGGTGATGATGATTATCTTGAAACAGCTCCAAGGCTTCATGATTGTTCATGTTGATTGTGTTTATTTATTTCATAATCTATTCGATTATATTTGTAGTGTTTGTAAGAAATTGAAGCGATAAGAAAATAAAGAATAATATTAGTTTACATGAGAGAAAGAGACAACAACATGACTACAGAACTTACTCTCGAACTCCCAGTTCCAACATTTTTCAAAGTAATATCAACATAGAAAAAAAACTAATATAATTCAACGAAAGTGATAATATCTCATGGGTCCTATTCATTTCCATTATAATTTGTCCTTTAGTCTTTTCGTTATCATTATTATCATGCGAATGTCTTTCTCTGTCTAATCAAGAAAAACGAAGAGCAAGAGAGAGAGAGAGAGAGAGAGAGAGAGAGAGAGAGAGAGAGTTCTAACCTTTAACTCTGTTTGAGAAGAAAAATCCTACTCTAGATTATTCATTTTCTCTACTCAGTTTCAATTCCATTCAGAAAGATTCACAAATCATGCGAAAGTTTTTGCAGGCAGTAAAGAGAGAGAGAGAGAAGAAAACTTTTTATTTCCTGAAAGATAAATCTCAGAACTTGGATGAATCAAGGAAAGAAACATTTTATCTACTTCATGCCAGCATTTGAATGTTGAAGACAAATCTCTTGACCACTGCAAATGGTCAAGAGATTTGAAAAGTTTCATCCAATACTTACGACATGGTCCTTCATATCTTGTGGTAATGTAACGTTTCTCTGTACACGAGGCAGTGGTCAGTGAACATTGACTTGTATAAGTGATTCCATCTGACCCACAAACACTTGACCCTGAGTCTTCACAGTAAGGGCATTGGCATAGATTGACATTGGTACTTTCATGGTGTTGATTGGAATCATCTGAGTTGGTTGGTTTAACAGGAGAACCGGTTGAATCATCTTTATACCTTTTCCATAAAGTTAAAGGTGACCCTTTAGGATTATTTTCACCTTCAAAAGTTGGCGGTATACAAACCGATCCATAATTACAGACGACATTGGCACAAGGGTCAATTGATGATCTATCGATTGGACTTACACAATGACCTCGGTGTTTAATTGAAATATCTAAATTGTTAAGGCACGATGAACGTTCAATATCACATTCAGAGAAATAGGTTTTATTATCAGAACCACAGATAATTTCTTGATTCATATCATGGGCTGAACAAACTCTACAGGTACAAAGAGGTGTCCCAGTAGTGTCGATGATACAATGTTGACGAAATGAGCACCTTAATGATTCACAAGGACCTTAAATTGAAATAAAAAGAGAAAGAAAAATTAACAATTAACTCAACTCAAATCAATTGGAAACAAAAAATGAGACACAAACATTAACCCAATTGATTGATTGTCACATGAAAAATGATAAACCCAAACCCGAATGATAAAAAAAAACTCTTGAATCTTAATCATCAGTGATAATTGTAATCAGGATCAATTGTCCAGGTTGATATTGAATCGATAAAGAAAAGCAATATTATACTGATGAAGATAACGGTAAATATAATGATAACAATAACAATGAAGCTTCATGATTATAATGAAAATAGCCAATGACCACTAAAAGATTTGACAGTTTTATGATAACTCTAATCAGTAAGGCAAAAATAAAGGTACTTGACCAATGGTACTTAAGTTTAACATTCAGATCATGATGCTGAAGATGATGATGATAATATTATTTCAAATATTATCGTTATCATCAAGGTAATCATACTTATCTCATGTTGTTATTATCACCATCACCTTGGTGAGTTAACTAAATAACTGAGATACAATACAATTTGGATGATAATGATTAATACTTGAAGATTAAATTGAGATTAAATTTACCATTTTATCCTCTTTGTCTAGTTTTTTTTTATGATAAGAATCATCATCAACTGATTAATTAATTCAACTGAATTACAATAATCTCGAGCTACAATATTAAACTGTAACTTTTTGCTTCGTAACAATGTTTCATATTTACAGATCAACATCAACTGTCAACTTAATCATTATCAGAATTAAACATCAACAATTTATTCAATGATTTATCTGCTCATCTTTACACGAGAAAATCTTCACCATGATGATGATGATGATGAGAGTCATGATTGTGAGTTCTCTCAGCAAATGAAGTAATATTAATATGAAACATTAGATTATCATGGAAAAGAAAATTTTTTTTCCCTTCTTCCAACTTGAAGTTATGTTCAATTACTATCATAATTTCATCATGTTGTTAGATAACTTCTTCATCTTCTCCTGTTTTCTGAACATCTTTAACCTGATAATTCATGAGACATTGATTTCTCAGGATGTGTCATAATATTTATCGATTTTGTCTTGAGCAAGTTGGCAAAAAGATGATAAGGTAAATGTTATAGTAAATCAGGATAAATTTCACATTTCATGGTGAAAAATTTTTCTCTTCCACCCTTGATGATAAAACTTCATCTTCATCTTTAAATTTGGTGACTATCAACTTCACACCCTCATTAAAGAGTAACCAACAACAATATCCAGGTTCTAATTCTTGATTTTTCTTCATCATCTACATGGTAATCATGAGATATTGATCTGAAAATATGATCATCATCATAACTAAACAAGAATAATAAAAGTTGAATGAAATAAATTCATTGGAAGATAAAATAACCTGATAAGATACCAGATAACTTTCATGGTGGTAAATGTTGGTAATGATCATGAAGATAATGATGATAAATATTAGGAAAAGAATAACTTTTTTATCTTCTTCATATTTTCTGGTACCCTGAGGCGATTCTCTTACTATCTGGGAGCTTTTCCCTCTCTCATTCTAGAAGATCAAAGTAACATCATGTTCATCATGATTCTGTTATCATTAAATTTATCTTCAACTTTCTTGGTATAATAATAATAATCTCGCTTGTGAGTATCCAGATGAATGTTATTATTAGTCACTTCTTTAGTTAAAGTCTAGAATTTATTTATTCTTTCCTTGATATTTACTCACTCGATGGATTATGTTCACTTTCGATATCATAGAAAAACAGATAAATAGGCTGAAAAAAAGTTCTATTACTTATTTGAATTGGAATTGAAAAGCTCATCTGATATTGAAATTTTGAGCCTTGATTATTATTTACATTTTTCGGTTCGAAGATATCATTGATATTGTTATTCTTATTATCATTTTCATGTAAATGACCATTAGAATGAGATCATGAATTGAGTAAAAATTTTAGAACTTTTGATATTAAGAAGTTAGAATCGAGAGAATCAACTTTTCAATGAGGTTTCATATTGAAACTCAATAGCTTCATCAATATTTCTCAGACTCTTTTATCATCAAAATTTAAGTGTAATAATAACGAACATCTTTTAATTGAAGTTAATTAGGCTACTTCGCTAGTGAATCTTTGTGATTCGATTTTTAATACTGTTTACTAATTAACATAAGTATCAACTTTCATGTGTGTAACAAATTGTTCTGATGTTTGGATTAAACTTATTTTGTTTTCCATGTAATTTGATATATTAAGATAAATGTCACCATGAAATATTACCCAATCAACGATAATTATTCAATTTTACATAGATTTATGATGAATAAAAAAAACATTGACCTTTTGTTATTAGTCATCATAAAATCGTAAGGGAAAAACGGACTTTCATCTGGTTGGCCAAATTTCACAATATTTCCAAACAAGAACGAGAATAACTACAATATCTTTATAACTGAGTTGAAGGTGATAAGTTCCGAAGGAACCAGACACCCAAATCTCTATCCAATGATAATCATTGGATAGAGATTAAAAAATTACTCAGAAAACTCGTTTTCTGGGTTAAATTAACTTTGAAAAAATTTTCCCGCCACTAAAATTTCAATAGTTAACCTTTAACCTGAAGTAGAAATGACTAAAGGGGCTCGGCTATTGTTGGGTTGAAAACGGAAACAGGAGATTGGCTTTGGTTAGACACAAGCTCGCGACTTGAGTGGTATGAGTTTGAGCGTGACTCAATTGTCTTAGCAAAAGATCAAGGCCATTCAGGTCATTTCTAAAAGAAAGCGTTTCAAGATCATCTGAAGGTAATATCATTGTAACTATTTCAATTAACATCCAAGGAATGAAATTAAAACAATAAAGCATTTAATATTCAACTATTAACGGTTCTTTAACCATTATCATTAAGCTCATCGCCCCTCTGTTAATAATATCAAAATACATTTTATCACATTGGGTGATTATTATTATTCATAATGAACGTAACAATTGTAATTGCAACACTTTGCTAATTTAATCATTGACCATGATGTTAACTTTTATTAATTCAACGTTAACCTCCTCTGGTCATTTATTTAATTCATTCATCTTACACTTCTAGTACAGTATAAGATGATTCAAAGTAATTCATTTAATGCCAAATTTCCGTATACTGAAAATAACACACCAAATGAATGAGACCATGAAAAACAATCAACCGCAAATGGATGATACTTATTACCTCATGTAAAGTGATTGTAATAATAATAGTGAACCATTACTGAGATAAAACAACTTACACTGAAACACTTGAAAAAGATAACATGATGAAGATGAAATTATCATGGTTTACACTTTACTTTTTTATCATCATCATCAACATCATGAGAATCTTCATGGTTTATTTAATTACTTGATATTCAACTTACAGGGTAGATGGAAAACACTTTGGAGGTGGAACAAAAAATAACATCTTGTTAAGGAGGTTAAAAGGCTCTTTCAAGCTTCAGGGTGGGAAAAGGATACTCAGGGTGGTGTATATATATACACACAAAACTAATACCCACCGACTCCAATCAAAAAAGATAATGAGAAGAGGAAGAGGAGGCGGAAAGGGAATGAAAGAAGTGGATGAGTGGGTGGAATTGAAGATGAAAAGTTTTAACACTGAAAAAAAAACTAAACGTTGAATACAAAAGACTCACATTACATTTATATATTGTTAAGGTTTCCCTTCATGGGGAAAAAAGTATCATGAAAAAAAGGCAACCGATAATAATGATAATATGAACGTTAAGCCAATAAGGACATTTATTGTTATCACTTGAATAATGGTTCAGGTTATATTTTCTTTCTTACCATGAGATTTTCTTGTTCAAGAACTTTATTATTATTATTATTATTTTGTGAATAGTATGAAATAAATAGGTGATAGTGGAGGTGAAAAAGGAAGAGGAAAGTCACTTTGAAAGATGATAAAGTTTCTCATTTGATGATAATAATAGTATAATATATATAATAGTTGAGATAGTTAAATATGTTACTGAGTTTTTCACCATCTTCATCAGCGGGTTTGGTTAAACTGATTACTTTTTATTCATGGCGAAAGTTTCATGAGCTTTTGGTTGGTCAATAATTTTATCGTTAAAATTGATATATTGAAATTGTTATAAGTAAAACAAGAGGTTCCATATTGGATTTCAATTGGAAATGTTTCCTTTGGATTGCAGGGGAATCAGAATAATCATCAAAATGTAAACAGTTTTCTTTTTGTTCATGAGAAGGGATTTAGAATTGGCTGGTTGGTGGTAATCATGATTACGATCATGATAATATTATAATGATAATCGTAAATGGTTATAATGTTGAAGGAGTCAATTTATTGTATTTATCACTTTTCTCTGTTTTCTAATTTTCTTTTATCATCTTTTCCAATCTCTTTCATGAGAATGATGATTACAACTGAATAGTATTCATGATGATTACTTTTTATTGTTATTATTATTTTCATCTGATCATTACAATTGAATCTTAATTAAAACCTTTTCCTTTCAGAAGGTAAGTTTGATTTTGTTATTCAAAAACAGTTAATCAATAAAACTTTTCAATTTCTTTTTATCTTATGAGTTTCATGTGTGTTTATCTGAGACTTGGAATATCAAAATTGATAATTTCCAACTTTACTTTTGTTCTTAATCATTAACAATTTACCTTCTCTTATTGATTTAATCTAATGAATAAACAACAATAACAATCGCATATAATATGTACTTAGGGAAGTCATATATTTATCGATAAGTTAATTGGTTGAATTGTGAATCGTTATCATGATGATTTCGATATATATTCAATGACATGACATGAGTTCCAATGGATTTTCAATGAACATGTTATTCATTGAGCTTGATGTTTATCATGGTTATTGTTCATTCCGATAGCTGAGCTCATTTTATCTTCATTATTATCATTACCTATTATATTTATTTTTCTTCTGTAATTGTTTTGGGATTCGAA